TTCAAAATCTTTCTTTGGAATTAATGATTCTATCTTGACTTCTTTTTTTTTTATTAAGAGTAAAATAAACTCTTTTCTTCTTGAGGTACTTGTATATACTCTTAATAATTATGGTTTCAAGTTCTTGTCAAACTATTTTGAATTCTTGAAAACTGTTCTCAGCTTCTTGTTAAAAAGATTTTATATTGATTTTTGAAAACTTGCATTCTATTTAGAGTTTGAACTTCTTCTATTATTCTATAGTAGAGTTTGCTAAGTCTAATATTCTTTTACCTTTTGTTCTGTATTACTCTTAGACCTAGTTTTTAAATAAATTATTTGCTGTCATTTTTATTAACAGTAGGATATGATCACTATCTAGTAGTATCTTCATAAAAATATTTTTGAATTCATATATATTGTTTAAATAGTTTTTGATAGTATTTAAATATAGTTAATCCTACTATATACTAATTATTTGCCCATATAAAGATGATATTTCCTTCTTTTTTTCAGAAGTTTTGGATATCTATATAATTTCAGTTTTCTGGAAAATTGAAAAAGCCTATCTCAGCTTTTCTATATCTTGGGATTATTTTGTTAAAGAGTGGGAATTAATTTACTATTGAATTGATAACTATATTAAAATCACATATAATTATGATTTTAAAGTAATTTTTTTGTTTATCTAAAATTTTATTTTGAAGTAGTTGTTATAGTCATCTATTTTCAGCTTTCTAGATAGCAGATAACTTGATAGATACATAATTTATTTTTTGTTAATAAAAAATTAGCTTCTATTATGTAACTATCTAATTTTTAAATTTATTTTAGCTTTTTCTTAAATATTTCTATTAATGCTTTGGATTTTTTATTATTATAGCTATAGAAGAACTTGTATGTTTGCTATAAATTAACTACAAAATCTACTATTTCTTCTGTTAACTTAGTTTCACAGATCCCTAGGATATCTATGTCAAGTTCTTATATAAGTTTATATAATTTTTGTTAATTGAGATTAGTATTTATATCTCTAATATTATACAGTATGTCTTAATTGTAATAATATTATCTAATGTAGAATTGTCTATAATATAATTATTATATAATATCTGTTTTTTGTCTATTTTGTTAATAGTATTTTTTTTTATTGTACTGATAAAATTATAGTATATTTATATTGAGAGAAGTTGTATTAATATCTGCTATTGTCTTAATAATTATATCTTTTTTTCAAGATGAACTTGATTTCTTTTGTGAATCAAATTCTCATCTGGTATATTTTTATTGTACTGATATTACTTTTAGAAATGATTACTCTATTACCTACCTCTTACCCTATTTTAACTGCCTATTTTTTTCTTAATTAGATTTATTCTGTTGTTCAGTCATTTGAAATTGTTCAGGATCCAATAGATTGGATCTTAATTACTTTCACTTTCAGGATAGGGCTTTTATATCTATTGTATATACTTATTCTATTGTAATAATTAATAAGTTCTCTATTATTATTAATAATAAAGCATTTAAAGATCTCTATTTTATTGATAGAAGACTTATTGCCTTGAGGATTACATCTTCTTTTTTCTTTGTCAAGATATGTTTTTTTATTAATCTCTGTTTCTAATTTATTCTTAAATATTGTAGACAATTGAACCTTATATTACTTTTAATATCAATTTGATTTATTTTTATACTATTAATTTATTGTTCATATAACTGTATAGATTTAATATTAGATTTTTCAGCTTCATTGAAATTCTGTCTTTCTTGAAAACACTTTTGTTTTTGATTAAAGTATTCTCTTGCCAAATAGGTTTGTACTCATGAATACAAATATATTGTTTTAAAGCATTGTTGAGATTTTGTACTATTGAAAAATAAATTATAGTATAGTCTCTTCTTTTGGATATATATGAATTCTTAGAAATGTAGCATGTTTTGATATTGATATGTTTAACTATCCTTGCAATCAGTCTGGTAATAGTATTATATACTCTATATAATTATAAGGATTGTGAGTAGTGCTGTTTGATAATTTTATTGATTTCTTTGTCATCAAATTTATTTTGAGAAAAAATGACTCTATTTATTTTTGTTCTAATGTGATTCATCTATTTTTTTTTCAAGGTCAGTATATTGTTTGCAAAAAAAAATATATGCCTTATTTTGCATTATGACTATAAATAGTTGTAAATATAGATATTCATTGTTTGTTTATATTAATTAAGAATTACTTTGATTTTTTAATATGAGTAATTTCAATCAATATTTATTAAGGTAATTACTAGTAATGTTTTCTTTTTCTTCTTTATTTTTTGAAACATTTTTTTGTTTAGTGGTTGGTTAGAGCTTAACCATTTGTCCATTTTTAAAGATATGATAATAAAATTGTTTTTCTTCTTTTTGTTAATTTTTTCAAGACATCATAATACTTCTTCTTTTTTATAATAAAATATTATCCAAGCATTACTATTGATAAATTCTTTTGTAAAGGGATAAAAGTTTTTTGGTAAGCTTAATGTATTCTGGAGATATGCTATTTATTCCATCTTAATTTCTTCTAAAAGTCTTGAAAGAAATATACTTATTTTAAAATCTCTATTTTTCTTGATATGATATAGATTGATACTAGATATTTTTTTATTTCTTGTCTTATACAGTATATTTGCTATTCTACTATATTATCTCTTTTAATTTTTTAATTGATGACATTTATTTCAATTTTGTTTTCTAATTCTTTATCTTCCATTTCAACTTTAACAATAATAGGAATTTTGATTGATGTGATTGTTTGAACTTTTATGATCATTATCTTATTGGGTGAATTGTTAATAGAAAAATCATTTCTGACTATTAACTGATTTATTAACAATGGTTATAAAATATATTATATTTGTTCTTTTTATTTTATTATATTCAGGTATTTGTTCTCTAAGAAAAAAACTAAAAAATCTTTTACTTTTTCTTGTTTTATAATCCATAAGTAGAGAATATATTGTCTAAGAATATTGGCTTTGATAAAGATAATGTAATTGATATTCAGAATTCTAGTAATAATATTATTTATAATTAAGTATCTAGTTGAATCTTGTGTTGAGTTTATAATAGTCTCTTGAGTTAAAGTGACATTCAAGAAAATTTGTGAAGCCTATAATTTTCTTTGTTAATTATACTTGTCTATTAATTAAATTAAAGTTTTAATAATATATGCTTCTCTTTTTTTAGCAATCTGTAAGTTTGTGTTTTTTTATAGATATATTGATCATGTGATATAAAGAATAAGTTGCTATATATAGTATTGATATTTTTTATTGTTTTGCTGTTTTGGGTGTTACTAAAGTTTTCTAAGTTAGATAATAATTAATATTTATTTGTTTGAGTAGTACTTATTTGTTTGTTTGCTTATATTTATTTGTTTGTACTTGTTTATATAAACAAGATATTAATTTGTTGATTGTAAGTTGTATTACTATTTTTAAATTTATTGTATTATCAGTGGCTACTATCAAATGTACAGTAAGTATAAAACATAAATATGTTAAATGAGTTGTTTATTAGATATGTAAGTAAGTTGCTATTCGAGCTAGCAGATATAACATGTTTGAATTATATGATTTTAGATATAGAATATTGTTGTATTGTTTATATTACTCTCTACTATTAAATAATTGAGACTTGAATATTTTTCTAGATATTATAATCTTTGAGATTTAATTGATTTATTAGTTAAAGTTATTAACTATAATATTTTTTTTAGTGTTATAAAAAATATAAACCTGCATTAGTCTGGCTGAAAGCTTTGTGAAGTTGAAGTTGAGTTTTCAGGAGCTTATTATGAATTAGCTTTCTTGGAATTTTTTTTCCTTTGTGAAAAAAAATTATACTATAATAGTTTTTTTTTAATATTTACCCTATAACTATTATTAAAAAGAAGTATAGTGTTTTAAAGTTTGTTAATAAACTATTGTTGTTTTTAGACTATATGTTTTTTAGATATTAGAGACTGACTTTTTGTTTTTAGAAAGATTACCAAGAAAAAAAATTTTTAAGAAACTGGTGATCAATAAAAAGAGTTTTTTTTTATTAGATAATAATTTTTTAGACAATATAGAATGTTTTTATTTTCTTTTTTATATATACATATTTATAAATTTTTGGATATTTTCTTTTCTTTATTTTTTTTTTTTCTATTGTAGTTTCTCAAAATTAGTTTCTTGTAAAACAATAAACAATAATAATCTGCTAACAATAATATATAAATTAGAAAATATTTACTCAAAATCTACTATAGAATAAAATTTTATTTTCAAAATTGCATTTAAAAACTAAAACTTATTTGAAACTTGAAAGTTGTTAACAAGTGAGTTAGTAAATACTTTAATTTAGCCATAATATAATTGTTCTACGTATTATTATTAATTTTCTTAATGATTAATAAACACACAATACTAGCCTAACCATAGATTTAAAAGAAATGTCACTATATTATAGATCTATAAATTAATTAAATAATAATAATAATAGTTTTTTAAGGTGTCAAATAACAAAGTTCAAAAATTTTTATTAAAATAAATTTTTAATAAATTTTAATTAATTAAAATATTCACTATAAAAAAAAAAAAAAAAAAAAACTTATTTGATTAAAATTTTGAATTAGCATTTTAATTTAATAGTTTATTAATAAAATTATTATAGAAAAAATAACTTCTTTAATATTTTCATTTAAAATTTATTCTAATACTAATAAAAACAGATTTTACACAATCTAAAGATATGTTCAACATCGGCATACATACCTTTGTTATAAATTTACTGCGACTGTCCTACCAATGTTATCGAATTAAAAATTCACTTGGGAAGACAAGAAGGAAAATTTATAAATTAAAATGAAAATTTAAAAAATACAACAGATATGCAGGTTATAGCCGAAATCATCGAAGGGAGGGGAAAAAAGCAGCACAGTCACGTGAATATCTGCAATTGGTTGGGCTGCTCAGCAAAAAATCATCGACTGGCACCTTTGTCCAATGCCATTAAACTTCCAATAAATGTCAATATCTGCAATAGTCAATAAAAAAAAAGGTTTACAACTAGTATATTAATAGCATAAAAATAATTCCATGAACATACCAATCGAGGTCGAACTTCAACAATATCTTCCGGTAATAGGAAAATGGTAGCACCAATTTTTCGAGCAATGGATATAGCATATCGAGAATTGAGTGTGGCATCGTCATCTAAAAAAGTTAAGATAAATTACGACTGTACTTTATTGCTAATGAATGTTATTATATTCACTACCGACATACCTGAGATACCCTTTGTTACCAAACTATAGTCCACTACGCCTGGTCTTATTCCGTTCAATAAATCAATAAGAAATATACCATTCCTCAAAGACGGATCCTTAAAGTTTCTCATTTTTGTGGACTTCCCGCCACGATTCACGGTGTCATTTGCCCACCTTACCAAATCATCATCGTTAATCTCGTGGCCTCCTTTAGACAAACTTGTAAGTGTTTTGATGATATTCATGCGCATCATTTGCCAGACAAGACCAAGAGTCAGGGTCTTTGTGCCGTCACATATGTCGGCGCCTTGAATATTAACGAGTGTAAATCGTAACTGTTTTCCTAGTAAAATGGCGTAATTTGTATTTTCCACTTGCTTGAATCTTGATAAATTTGCGGATTTGTTTGCTTTTTTCCAATCCACTATACCAGGCTCGATTTTTTCGAAAGCTTGAAGAAGAATGAGACCATCCTATAAATATATCGAAATTATCAGTGAGAATAATAATAACAATCCTTCTCATAATGATCAAGAGATTCGAACCTTCAAATCTTCGTATAAGTTGTTTACAGCCGGTGTAACGTCCAAGCTATTCATCCAGAGAGCGAATACTTTATTGAAATAATAATAAAAAAAACTCATCAATTCTCCATGGTTCAGATATGATTATCACTATTCAAAAATGGGGATACACTTTACTAACCTCTCGCTTCTCTATCGTCGGAGTCATCAAACTCTTCGAGTTCAGCTTTCTCTTCTTCATCAAGTGGTTCGAGGCACGGATGTGTGTTGAATAAATGAGCGACAAATGCCAAATTCAATTTTGGATTACCGGCAACGAGCGCCTTCGGAGTTAAATACTTGCGGCAGCCCAATTTCTCGGCATTTTGAAGAACCTACCGTTTTATGATCAAAATTATAATTACAGAGGACATCGTTGCCTTTATTATCAAGATCAACATACCTTTTCAGCACGTTCAAGGAGGTCAGGTTCCTTTAATGGATCACGCGAGCAGAGTTCGGGAGAGAGCTGGCTAAGAAGAACGGTGTAATTTTCCCCATCACATACATCTTTGCTGAAATTTGAAACTCTACAAAAAAATAATGAATTTTAAATGCAAATGTCCTGTGTGTTAACCATTTTGTGTAATAATTATCGAAATTATACCTGCGGTTCCATTTTGCGGCCTTCAAATGATAATTAAACCATCTCAACAAAATTTGATCGGGTGGCAACTTTAGAAACTGATCAAGTGTTTCATCTTCTTCAAGAAGACGATACAACTCGGGATGCAGTTTAATGTCAATCTTGTTTAACAACCCAATTTTGATGATTTGCCAGATTAGACCAAGAATCAAATGTTCTCGACCTTCAATCAAGTCCGTTGATCCAATATTAACAACATTGCACCCAATTCCCTTAGCAGAGAAGATAACAAGGTTGTTGTTTTCGGTCATTTGGAACTTATTGATCATCTTCCCTCGGACCGGAACATTAAGAACCCTTTCGTCGATTGTATCCGGTACAGAATCATTGATTAATTTTGCAAGGATCAAACCGTCTATTCAAAAATCATCAATGATTATTTATGATTTTTATTTGTACAGTGAAAAAAGAAAAAAAAAAAGTAAAAAAGCCAATACCTTTGCATTCATCAAACAACTGCATAGTATTTGTGTCAATCGGAATTTTATCTTTAACAACGGGGTCACCAGCCAACGCTTGGTTTATATGCCTTGTAAACTCGGTTCTTTCATCTTCATTTATGGTATGAGAAATGTTTGTGCTGGAACCGTGAACGGTGATTTTATGTTTATTGACAGCAAATGCTTTTTTATTGCGACCTTCTCTGAGCTTTGCTATAAGCTAAATTGTAAAATGCATAAATATGTCAATAATGCCTAAATAATTAAATGGCTAGAATTCTGAAATATACCTCTACAAACTCTTCTATTTCGACTTTACCCGTGGAACTCAAATCGATTTCTTTTAGCGTCGCGCGAATCTCATCATATGAATTACTCTCTCCTGACTCTTGCAAGGCTTTTACAACATCCTTTTGCTCAAGCGCGCCGGTTCCTTCAATGTCTATTTTACTAATTCGAGCAATTTCGTAAAATCAGTAATTATTTATGCAACATGAATATCGATCAAATTTTGCGTTTCATACTTGAATTGTGCTGTAAGATCAAAAACATCCTGCTGTGAAAACTGAGGAAACTTTTTTGCCAATCGCATAACATTCATTTTTTTTTAGTTTTTAAGATATACCCCAAAGGATGAATTAATTACACCAGCATTTATAGGTATTTTTAGGTGATACAAATATCCTATTTATAACGTCACAGATCGGAGATGTTAACGGCCAAGATAGCCAAGATGGCCAAGGTGTTAACATTATTATACAGTATATACACTACACACCAAGGAATGGTGAAGGTTTTAATTACGCAATTCTTTTCGTCCTCCGACCTTATGATAGGTCCGAACCTTTTTTGCATGACGTAAAGTATGGAAATCGCAACAAAGTAACACAACTTTTTCCAGATCATTCCATTATACAGATTGAATTTTCATATTAAAAATACAAATATAAATACTTTATTATAAATTTCAACTTTGACAATTTCTAAATTGTTAATTATATAATTAAAAATTATAAAAATTATATATATTATGTATTAATGCTTTAAAAATTTAATAAATGAAAAAAATTTTTAATAATAATAAAACTTTAAAAATTATATGTATTATACTGTATATTTAATATATATATATATATAATAAATAAAATTAATATTAAGATATAATATATATAAATTTTATAATTTTTGATTGTATAATTAAGAATTTAAAAATTATTATAAATGGATCTATGAAAAATTATTTGCAATGATTAAACTAATTGAATAAAAGTATAGAGAAAAAATAAAAAATTATTTTATTTTTTTTTATTTTTTTTTTTACTATAACTTGCAGTCAGGCTAGCAAGGTGTGTTTATTAATCTTTAAGAAAACTGATGTCGATACATTGGGCAATTATATCATGGCTAAACTAAATCTCA